GTGGCCTTATGACACACTTCCGGTGATGTCAGGGGGTGTGGCCTTATGACACACTTCCGGTGATGTCAGGGGGTGTGGCCTTATGACACACTTCCAGTGATGTCAGGGGGTGTGGCATATGCTAATGAGTTATGCTAATGAGTTCCCCTAGCTCTTTTTCTACGAAACGACCCCTGTGGGAAACTCTTTATGCTGGGGAAGCAAAACCTGACTTGGCTTGCAAGATCTGCTCCACTAGTTTAAAAGCGATGTCTGGTTTTGACCAGTGGCACAGTTGTCCAGCCCAGATGCAGGTAACGTCCAGCCCAGCTGGTTTTTTGCTTCTCGGCTACCTGTTCTTGTTCCATGGTGTACTGACTGGCCATGAATACCCTTGGGATCTGTTACAGCAAGGACATTCAGACAAGAACATTGCCTCACCTAGTTGGGGGGGGCAGTGTTCCCTCTAAGCTGAGTCAGTGTGAGCTAGCTCACAGTTTTTTAGCCTCCAGCTCACACATTTTTGTCTTAGCTCAGGAAGGATGGCTCCAGAGCAAACTCATTTAATGCAGCAGCCAAATCGCTCGCTCACAATTTTAATGCCGGTAGCTCACAAAGTAGAATTTTTGCTCACAAGACTCCATGGCTTAGAGGGAGCATTGGTGGTGGTGGTGGGGGCATCTCAGACGAAGCTGGGATCACCGCTGCAGTGTGGTGCAGTGGTTAAGAGTGGAGGACTCTAATCTGGAATATCGGGTTTGATCCCCCCCTTCCTCCACATGAAGCCTGCTGGGTGACCTTGGGCCAGTCACGGTTCCCTCAGAACTCTCTCAGCCCCACCTACCTCCAAGGTGCCTGTTGTGGGGAGAAGAAGGGAAGGTGATTATAAGCCGCTTTGAGACTTCACAAGGTAGAGAAAAGCAGGGTATAAAGACCTTCTCTTCTTCTTCTTCTTTTTCCAGCAGCTGAGAGCAGTCAAGGTATGAGAGCTGGAGCTCCCACATCTCGGCTCAAGCCCCGCCCAAGAAGCTGGGCCAGTCATTCTCTTGCAGTCTAACCAACCTCATGAGGTTCCTTGGAGGAAGTGCAAGATAAACTGGGAATAAAGGTCACTACAAAGGATTGCGGAAACTTATGCAAAGTGTTGTTCCAGCCTGAGATGACAAGTCCAATACGTATCTCCTAGGCCAGTGATGGCGAACCATTTAGAGACCGAGTGCCCAAACTGCGACCCAAAACCCACTTATTGATCGCAAAGTGCCAACACGGCAATTTAACCTGAATACTGAGGTTTTACTTTAGAAAAAACAACCCATACATTAACTTAAGATGATCCAAACAAAGTAAGGGAAAGCAATCCCAAACGCTTTCATTCACTTAAAATTATTTGGCAGAGAATTCGACACTTTTATGATGGTCTGGGCCTGGCTGGGGCGATGGCACGCGTGCCCGCAGAGAGAGCTCTGAGTGCCACCTCTGGCACCCGTGCCATAGGTCCGCCACCACTGTCCTAGGCATATGTGAATGCCCTGTGATTCTTATGTATTTTCATTTATATCCCGCCTTTCACCCCAAGGGGGACCCAAAGCAGCTCACATAATCCTCCTCTCCTCTGTGTTATCCTCACTATGAGGTAGGCTTGGCTGAGAGCATGTGACTGACCCCAGGTCACCCAGCAAGCTTCCACGGTACGAGTAGGGATTCGGACCTGCTTGTTCTTATCAGCTTGACTGCAAATAGACTCTCATTTCAGCTTCCTCGCTGCTCCTCAAGTTGTTCTACTGGGCCAGAGTGTCAGCTAACGTCATTCTACTCAGGGTACCCCAGTCAGATGTTGATCCAGAATGCTCATGTGGCTTCATTTTCTTGCATGGTCACAGAAGTATAAGCCAAGGCAACTCTTTTGCCTACTTGCTTGGTTTCCCCCTAAGACTGCATGCTCTGGGTTTTCCACCACATTTGTC